AAAACACTGAAACGATGGCGTGACTACTTCGAAAACATCTCAACAGTCGAATTTACTCATCCCGCCATCCCCTGCGCTCCGCCAGTACACGGTCCCGTTCAGAAGATAACCATGGAGGAGACCATCACGGCCATGAAGAAGATGAAATCAGGCAAAGCAACTGGTCCTGACGACTTAGCGGCGGACTTGTGGAAATCAAAATGCTGGAATCCTGCAGAATGGTTGACGGAGTTCTTCAACCAGATCGTTGCAGAGAAGAAGGTGCCTGAAAGCTGGCAACAAAGCACGACGATTCCTATCTGGAAGAAGAAGGGCAGTCCAGGAGACTGCACTAGCTATCGTCCAATTCGCCTGCTTTCGCACAGCATGAAAATCTTTGAGCGAGTTGTAGATAGCCGTATCCGGGACATCGTCGAGCTGACCACCAACCAGTGTGGTTTTGTGGCTAGTTGCAGCACTATCGATGCCATACACGCCGCTCGCCTTCTGCTAGAAAAGCATCGCGAGAAACAAAGACCGGTGCACCTTGCCTTCCTAGATTTGGAGAAGGCATTCGACCGCGTTCCGCGGGACGTTATATGGTATGCCTTACGACAGCATGGCGTGCCTGAAGAGCTCGTCGAGTGGGTGCGCATCCTTTACTCGAGTCCAAAGAGCCGAGTGCAAACGGCAGCAGGAACATCGATGGATTTTCCCATCTCTGTCGGGGTACATCAAGGCTCTGCGTTATCCCCACTCCTATTTGTTGTCGTCATGGATGCCATTACGAGAGATCTCCAGAAGCCGGCTCCATGGACACTTCTTTATGCTGATGACGTGATGCTCGCTAGCGAAGATAAAAGCACGCTCGAGCAACAGGTACAAGCCTGGTCCGACCGTCTAGCTATGTTCGGGCTCAAGCTGAACGTAAAAAGACTGAAAAACATACCAGAACGTCTCAAATCTAAGATCTATAGGACCGTCATCCGGCCGGTCGCGATTTACGGTGCTGAGTGCTGGCCTACGACTAAAGAGATCGAAGCACGGCTCAGTGTGATGGAGACCAAGATGCTGCGCTGGACAGCCGGAGTCACACGAGTAGACCACATTCGAAACGATGTCATCAGAGAGCGATGTATGGTCATGTCCTTCGCGCGAAAGATGACAGTGTCTGTAAGATCGGTCTCAACCTTGACGTGCCCGGAAAGCGGCCTAGGGGGCGCCCGAAGCAGCGATGGCTCGATACATTGCACGTAGACTTGAAGTCAGTTAATATCCACCCCGATCAAGCATTTAATCGGGAAAAGTGGCGTCAACACATAAGAAAAGCGGACCCCGCCTACAAGCGGGACAGACGCTGAAGAATAAGAAGAAGAAGAAGCATGCACAGATTGTGAAATTTATTTACTGAATTTGTAAACGTACATAAGGTGTTGACAATGAAAAAAGGTCATTTTTTCGAACTCATCCCTCTAGAGATGATCAGCATAGATTATAAGTTGGATAGGGGAGTAGTAATTTTAGAGAAAGGAACTTTTTTTCCTACCCTTCCTTTTTGTTTTTTTCTTCGGGATTCATGGTGTCCTACGGCTTCTGCATCTGTCTTCGCTATTCAACATCTTTATATGTCCATTTTAATTACATTTCTCGTTTAATAATTTCAAGCACATTTCCATAATTAGAGCCAGCATTTCATGCATATCATGCAACAAGCTAAAGTTTCTTTTACGAATTCACAGAGAACTATTTTTGTCGTTGATTGCACTTGTCGTGTTTTTAATCCATTACTCAATAATACAACGTGGCTAGTTTCTATTTAAAAAGGAAGAAGTTTTAGGATAATTCCGTGTGAAATGCATGTAATACAAAGGAAATTTCTGGGAATCTTTTGTCATATAACACAAAACTGGTTTGCATCAGTCGTCGCATACTGCTAACAATTGCTAGGCTTGGTTGAAAGGGTCGGAGGTCGAATAAGGGAATGGACAAGCTGGCAGATTTCTTAAGGGTAGGGGACGGGAAGGGTCCCGCAGCGAAAGGTATGCCTCCAGCGGCCCTAAAGATCAACAGACAAAAAGGGGCTCCTATTCTCGAGTTCAGGGCCTTTTTTCTTTGCTTTTTCTTCATCCCTACATCGCCGATCACCTCTATCTTGAACTCTAGTGGGCTGCTTTTCATCGTAAACTCCGCCCTTTGAGTACGATTCTGTTCTCAATTCTTAAGAAAATATGGGTGCATGAATGATCTTCACGTCAAGAAGGGGGAGGCGATTTGGTGAAAAACACCCAAGGCAAGCCATAGTAGAAGGGTATGCCTAAGGCTGGGGAGGGAAGAAGGGTAGGTTTACCACCCCGCCTGAAATGTGGCTTCCTCTTTGCGTGAGCTATCCTTCAATAATACGGAAGCTCGTTCGCCCTGAGCTCAGGCAGAAATTCTCTTCCTCCAGTTCACAAAAGCTTCATGGCTCATACAACATTAAATGCCGTTGAACATAAATGAAAAATTCGAAGAAATGGCGTAAGAGCGAAGCTCATGGTATACTGAAAGCGAACTGTTGCACCGAAATGTCGCCCTCCTTCTTCGTCAAAAGCACGATATCAGTTTTCG